AAAGCTTTGGAAAGAGTCAAGGTCAAAGCACATTCAGGAGTTAAAGGCAATGAGTTGGCTGATAGTGCAGCAAAGCAAGCCGCTCTCAAACCACAGCCAGAACAGAAGTTTTTACAGTTGTTACTCTGCACTGTCCCTATAGATGCAGCTTGAGTGCAGGAACATGCCACTACCCAAGAAAAAGAGAAATGGAAAAAGAACCAAGCAGTAAAAAATGATGAAGGAGAAGAAGCATTAGCTCAGAGGTTTAAGCAACATTGGGCAGGTGAAGGGATTTGTGTAGAAGCACAGCAAATAGTTGGCAACTGTGCAGTTTGTCTGACCCATTCTAAGGGAAGAGGACTGAGGCCAAGTCCTTCCCGACTGCCTGCCTCTGCTCTTTCCAGATGATACAAATTGACTTTGCTGACATGCCCCTATGTCAGCAGAAGAAGCACCTATTGATTGTAATATGCACCCTCAGTAATTACAGTATGTAATTGCTACCAGAAAAGCATATGCCAGCACAGTAGCCATATGTAAACTGAACTGGTGCCAAAGAAGGTGTCTATCCTAACCCATGTTCAAATTACTTACGTGCCATACCATCTTTTCAACAGGAGCAGCGCCGAACCCAGGAGCGAGTCAGACAACATTGTAATCAGAGTGGGCTTCCTGAAACTGAACCATTTGACCAGCTGCAAGCAGGAGACTGGGTGTATCGAAAACTGCATCAGAGGAAAAACTGTCTCTCCTCAAGGTGGAAAGGCCCACACCAAGTGCTGTTAGTAGCTGGCAGCAGTGCAAAGCTTGAAGGTCTGACCTCGTGGGTTCACCTAAGCCATCTCAGGCGTGCTCCAGCTCCAGCCCCAGAAGCAAGCACTACCAAGGACTGTGTTCAAGGCTCCCACAAAACAAATAGATGAAAGAAGAAAGAAGGGTGAAGTTTTGACTACGAAACCCTGAAGACCTCTGAAGATAAGGTTTAAATGGACTCTTGTTGTTAGTTTAACATTAACACTTAGGCTCCTACAGTTATTCAGATTGATCACTATTTTACTGTGTTTTTTTTTTTCCTTTACTGTCTCACAGCAAAACCATGGCTCTATATTCTTTTGTAGTTGTAATGGTCAGTGTGCTTTATCTACAATTGCAAGGATATAAGATGCAATACCCACTAGATTGGTTGCCTACAAACAATTCCTACTTGACTATAGTGCATTCTATAATCCCTCCGAGTGAACCCTTTTGCGCTCTCGAGGGAACAAATTGGGATTCTGTGCTTAAAACATGCTTTGTAGGAGTACCTGAACTGTTTTTCAACGTGGTTCATACCATTACTGCCCCACTCCCTACACATGACCCACTTACCCTTGATTCCCTAGGGACAACTCTCCTGTACTATTGTTCCACACCCACCAAACACCAGTGGGCCAATCAAGCATTATACAGGGTAGAAACCAAGGGCAATTTGCCAGGGACCAACTGTATGTGAGTGGTTGGCTGTGAAGACAAAAAGACATGCCTTTCCCTACCAGCTCTTGAAAAATGCTCAGACGTAATGTAGCTTAACTTTATAAGAGTTCCCCTCTACTTACCTAAGGGCTGGTATCTACTGTGTGGAAACTATGCCTTTTCATATTTCCCAGCAAAGTCCTCAGGAGGCCCCTGTGCAGTCGGGTGTTTAACTTCATTTCACGCAGTACCACCTGTTCAAAATTACACTCATCACAAGCCCAGGTGAGTGCACAGATACCATATAGAGGCTCCCTCCACTTGACAGCACCTGTGATGACCACATAGGGCTGTTGAACACCAAGGATGTTTATGAGTTTGCTATATCCATAATTGGAACACCAGGTCTAGCAACCTGTGCTTACCTGGATCTCAGAAAATTGGCCTGTTTAGTTACAAAAGGCATCAACTAATTTTCAAATGCTATAGCTCTCCTAAATGAAGAGCAGGAACAATTAAGAACAGCAATATTACACAATAGACTGGCCATTGGCTTTGTGCTATTCAAAATGTGCTATTCTTCAAGCTTGACGTCTTGTCATTAGTTGTTCAATAGTATTCAAATGCTTTCTCTTCATCGTTGCAACTTAGCTTTGTCAAAATTCCTTCTGGTCAAGAACAGTAAAAGGCCTTACCCAAATGCCTTTCTTTCCTGGCTGTTGTTTCTCTGATTCTCCTTGCTGAATTCTTGATTTAAAGAAGGCAATCTAAAAATATTTCCCCTGGAGGTAACTTTGCTGTAGAATATTCTGTCATTCCTCCTGTGCTGCATCCCTATATTGATAGCATGAGAAACAAAGGGGTTTCAGAAGGCATTGTGGGTGTTTTGAAATCTCTGACAGATCCAAATGTATCATACAGTTGGTTTATTAAGTGGTTTTGAAAATGACCTTACTTTCTCAGAATATCTTTATCAAGCCTTGGGGGTAGAGAAACCTGTTTATTAATATTTTAACTAGAATTAGCAACTCCTACAGTCATACTGCTGAAGGGGTGGAGGAAACCTCATACATTTCTCACATGTGATAGTCATTGGGATGAAAGAAGAATAACAATGCCTGCAGTGTACTGTGTACATAGTACAAAATACTTAAGCAGGTGCATAAAAGATTCTTAATAGAAATTCCTTCTGAAGCTGAATTTTGAGGTTCCATCTGAAGCCTCCTGCAAAACTGCAATCTTTTTTTCCTCTGGAAAAAGAAAAAGAGGGAGAGAAAGATCTGCAGAATGAAGAATTTAGCACTGCAGAACAGTCGCACCCCATTGCTTCCTGAATTAACTTTTAAACCCACAAGTCCCTGGTTATTTATCCCATTTTATGGGATAAAAATATCTGATTGCCAAGAGTTCTGTGGTCCTACAGTTCTGCTATAAAAAAACAAGGGCATTTACATGTGAAATAAAAGATAGAGAGGTCCCGGGCCAATCCCTACATTTTAATACTGTAGAAAAAAAAATTGGCCTCAGCATTTCCAGCTTGGATTTTTTTAAAAAATTGTATTCAAGCGGGGAAATGGTTCTATTAGAAGATTGTTTTGTGTTTAAAATCTGGAGAACTTTACAGAATTGCCTTCATTTTTCTTCGTTCAAAACAATTAAATCGTACCTCCTGTTAAATATGAAAAAGTGTGTGTAATAAAGATGCAATCAGCTTTCAACTCAACTCTATCTCAGGACTATGCCCCTGAATCTAGTATACAAATTTCAGAAAGGCATACCAGTCTGAATTCTTTACAGTCAAGTAATTATTAGCATGTTATGTTTATTAGAAAAAGCAAAGCAAACACACTGATTAAAAAAAAAAAACTCTCCAGTTTATTCTGGTATTTGTGCAGGACTCCTGGGAGCTGAACAAATCTCTGAGGTACCAAACAAGACCAGCTAATCTTTCCTCCAATTCAGAAAATCATTTAAATCCAATAATGATAGTGAAAAACATTACACGCAATGCCATCTTGTAAAGGAGGAATGAAAGATGAAAATGAACACCTAATGACATAAAACCCTGTCAGAAGAGTGCTCATGAGGACAGTAAGCAAATGCCTTTTCCATTTTGGTTTTCTCCCATTCTCATTGAACTGTTCTAAAGCTTCATTTTAATGCATCTATATTTTTCTTCAAATGTCCTTCCTACTTTTTCTTCCTGCCTTCCTGAGACGTATTAAAGTTCATATGTTTATTGATGAGACAAGCAACCCCCCTCCAAAAAAAGTCTTTACATGGAATCACAAAAACTGTATCTACATGATATGAGACCTCCATGTTACAGGGCTGATCTATCAATTAAGCAACTGGTTGTTTGTTTTTGCCACAACATTCCACTCATTTGTTTTCCTTGTCCTTCCATAGATTTCTTCTCACATTCAATCTCTCATTATCTTTACAACTTTATTTTAGAAATTCTGATTTAAATTAATGGAACTAAGTAGCAAGTTTCATCTCCTTCTCTTCAATAATATATATTTCCTTTATCCTCCTCTATTTTCTCTTTAAATATGGTCCCATGTTCATTTTAAATGTATCCTGAAATATTAAGCTAAAATGCAGCTTGGAGGTTTTATCCAAAAGGAATTTGATTGGATCATCAAAACAAATTTACTTTTCAAACTATGTTGATGACTTCAGGGGTCAAATAGAATTGATAGTCAAAATACTTTTCTGCTTATCTACAGTAGTTTAAATTTAGGAATCAGTTCAAAATGAACACATCTGATTCAGCTGGGATGTTTTGATTTAATTTGTCTCTGCTCAACTCAACAACAATTTCACTCAATGTGTTAAATCAGATAAAATGCAAGAATTATATTAATCTTATAAATACAATGAGAAGCTTCAAATTTGAAGACCATCTTCAGAAACTCCATTCTGTTTCCAAAGTATGACTCAGAAGAACAGGTCATTTGCACAATATTCTTATTCTTTCATGGAAGAAGGACTTTTGACGGCACAGAGATCTAAGTAGCTTCCTGCTTGATTCTCTACTCTTCCTTCTTTCAAGTATTTCAGTTGGCACCTCTTTTTTCATTTTGTTTTTGCTTCTTACTTTGCTAAGTACAAGAAACTCTTGTACTCTTTGAGGAGTAGTGTTAATTTTGCTTTGTAAAATGAAGGCAAGCAAAGCCAAGGAGGAAATACTCAGTCCCTCATTCATAGAGGAATTAGACCTCAAAATGAAATTGTTTGTGCTGCTGAGATTGTTGGAATTCAAGGTGAAATGCCTCCTCTGCTTTCAGACTTAATTCAGTCTCAGTCTGACAGTCCTTTCTGCTTTGATTTAAAAATCTATAAGTTTCATTTTATCTCCCATTTAAACATTGGTAATTGCTAATTCTTCTGTTTCCATTTACAGAGAAATCTATAAAAGTACAAATTAAAATAGAAAGAAACAAAAAATCTCATTTGAAAGTGACAAAATGCTGCCAGTCAGTATATCCAGACCAAAATGGATCAGAAATACTTTAACGGTTTTTGTTTTTCTTCCAGGACTGTCATATCTGCGGCCAGAAATGGAGAATGACACATCTGTGTTTCTTCTCTTGGAATTCTCAAAGATATGGGAAATAAAGATTATGTATGTAACTTTCTTCCTGCTATTGTATTTAATGACAATAACAGGCAACGTTCTTATCATCTCTGCGGTTGCTTTGGACTCCCACCTTTATACCCCCATGTACTTCTTCTTGATGAATTTAGCCCTGCAAGATATTGGTTCTGTTTCAGTCATCGTCCCCAAAGCTGTTGTTAATTTGGTCATGAATATCAGGTATATTTCCTATTCAGGGTGTGTTGCTCAGGTCCTCCTGTTTGTCTTCTTCCTGGGCTCTGATGTGGGCCTCCTGACTGTCATGGCGTATGATCGGTTTGTTGCCATTTGCAATCCTTTACAGTATGAAATGATAATGAACAGAAAGCTCTGCACTAAAATGGTTGGCAGTGTGTGGGTTATCAGCTTCATTAATGCTGTGCTGAACACTACTGGAACTTTTACTAATCATTTCTGCTCAAATACAATCAATCAGTTCTATTGTGAAATCCCACAGTTACTTAAGTTTGCCTGCTCAGATATATATGTCATTGAAATTGGATACATAATATTTATAACAACATTAGTATTTGGTTGCTTTGTGTTCATCACTGTTACTTATGCACAGATCTTCTTTGTTGTTTCAAGAATCCCTTCTGTTCAGGGAAGAAAAAAGGCCTTCTCTACTTGCTTGCCCCACCTCACAGTTTTCTCCATATTTTGGGGTGCCTCCTCATTTGCTTACCTGATTCCTCGACCTGACAAACCATCACACTTTGATTTCACTGTTACAATAATGTATTCCATCATTCCACCCATGTTGAATCCATTAATCTATAGCATGAGAAACAAGGATATCAAAGTTGCTCTTTCAAAAATTTTCAGTGCGAAAAATAGAAAATGGGAAATGTAATTGCAAATAGGGAATTAAACTGAAAGTTAGGTTTCATGTGAGCTCTATCTATAGTTTCACATTCATATTAGATTAAAATCTTTATTTTATTATTGGAAAACAAGACAATGGAATCCTGTTACTCAAGGTTTTTACAACTTAAGTAAACCTTCACCTGTTTCATTTCAGATGAAATATATAGAAAAGGAAAATGGGCATGATACTTATTGTTCCATTAAAAAAAAAGAATGTTGTTTTTAATTGTTTATAATTTCATGTTTATATTTGACATTCATAATACATATACATAATGATATAGCACCAGTCAGCACTTCCTTAAACTCAAACTCATGAAGTGTCTCCTACTCCTGCACATACCATATTATTAACACTGACACATACTGTATTTATTGCTTACAGTATGTCTGAAAGAGATTGTTCTCGATTCATATAAGCCAATGTGCATAGACCTGAGTCCAGTTTCATTCTGTCTGAAAGAGGTTGAGAATGGCTGAACTTTTCATACATCATATGCCTCATTCTACCTTCAAATAACAGATAACTTGTTCTCTGCTTGCAGCAGAAAATATATTCTTTTGAGAAACTAAAGTGGAAATCCAAAAATCATACCGAGAAAATTATTTTGTCAATCTTAGTTTGCCTTTTTAATTTTTTTTAAAAAATCAGAAATTTAACAATAAAGATATTGAAGTCCAATGTGTGCATTTTTGTGTATGTTGAGTTGTAGTTTTCAAGTGTTTGTCTTATTGTACATACATAAATCTGGATAAAAGATTGTAATTTCATTTTATTTCTTATTTAACTTAAATAAGAAAATGTAGTTTATGTTCAAAATAATTACAACATAATTGTAAAGGAGGATCCTTCTTTTGGAGGTGCCCCAAGTTAACCTCTCACTTTAGAGTATTTTTCCCATAGATGTTTATCTCAGGCTTTATCAGTATTACTCAGAACCTTTTCTTTTTTCAGGTTGCCTACTTCTATTAAATCTGCAAGGCTGGGAAAAATCCCAATTTTTTCTCCTCTTGGATCTCTTCCTTCTCCACCTTTGCTTTGAATTAGGCTCTAGTAGTAACTCCTATTACCCTAGTCCTCCATAATTACTTCTATTTGAACCCAATCACTTGTAGTTGGAAAATTAATTCCAGTTACAAGATTACAAGGCAATTTAGGGATTACCTGTATCACCATGACTTGCTTATCCTCTTAGTCCATAGCTTGACTAAGAGGATTTGTTTAATGTCCCCCAAAATACTTGTAAGGGCCTTCTATCTATATATGCCACTTCCCTTATGAGACATGAATGTACTAAGGACCTTGAAGAAGTACTCATTGACTTTGGCCAGAGCCATGATTTTGTTCCCTAGGGATACCTAAACCATTGTTGGCATGTGAGTCTCCATTGAGTCTGAAGCTATCCCACTGATGCCACCAACTGTCACAGGTTGTTTTGAACTTTAATCAGAATTTACTCAGACTTAATACAGACAGAAAAGCCCAGGAAACTGAGACAGTTGGTTTGTTTTTGTATCTCCTGTTAGTGGCTGGGGAGATTTTTATTTTACAAAAAAATAAGGATAGGTTATAACAAAGCAAGCTTTTCCTGAACCCATGCTTTTCCTGTTTGGTGGAGGCCTCCTGAGAGGTGTCATGTGGTTGGGTCCAAGGACTGGCTAATGCCTCTGCAGGAGGGGGTGATACTGCCTGCCTTGAAGGAGATGGTGCTGCACCCCTTAATGGCTTTTGCTATCACTGACTATGGTATCCTTGCTATCCTTCTGGACAACTTTGGGTGTTGGGAGTGGGGGCACCTTTTTGTAGTGGTCCTTCTCTTTCCTCTGTGGCCAGTTCTAGTCAGTTTTGGGGGGGGGAGAGTTGTAACCCTAAGCCCCAAAATGTGGTGTAGCTCAGGGTTCAGACCTCTCACCACTCCTCTTTAATAGCTACATGAAACCATTGGATAAGGTCATTTATTACCTCAGGGTGATATTCAACCAGTATGCTGATGATACCCAGTTATAGATCTATACCCCTGGCCAGGAAGGTGATGCTGTTTTGATGATGACCCAATGCCTGGAGGCTGTAACTGTCTGCATGGGAAGGAACCAGCTCCAACTGCCCTGGAAGATGGAGTGGCTTTGTTTTTTGCCCCCCCCCCCCAAATCTGGTGATGTGATATCTTTGATTCATGATGGTGTAGGACAGAGATGGTGCAAAATGTGAGGGTCCTCCTGGTCTTGTGGCTCCACCTGGTGGCAGTCGGAGCTAGGAAGGCCTTTTCACAGATTCATCTTTGCACAGATTCATCTTTATCTTTCCACAGATTCAATTGCACCCATTCCTGGACCTGAAGGACTTATCACAGTCACTTGTGCCTTGGTCACTTCCTAGTTGGACTACTGCAATGTCCTCTACATGGGGCTTTCCCTGAAGACCATCTGCAAATTACAGCTGGTCCAGAATACAGCACTGCATGCACTTCTGGGTATTCCATGGCTTGCCAGTATCACACTGCTGCTGTGTGAGCTGCACTGGCTCCAAGTTTCTTTCTGGGTGCAATTCTAATGCCCTTAATGGCACAGAGGCAGTTTACCTGAGAGACCACCTTTTCCTGAGGGTATCTCCCCATTTCACTGGGTTAGCTAGGGTGGGCATGTTCCCGCTCCCTTCCCTCAAATGTTGCCATTTTCTACAACAGCCCCTGCAGTGTGGAAAACCCTTACCCCTGGAATCCCCCTTGGGGGAAGAGCTAGGTTTTTATGGCCTTCCAGAAGGCTAAAAGGGTAGCAATAAAAGTTATGATAGGACAAGGTTGGAGCCTGGGGATTATATTTCTTGATGCATTGGAGAGTGTTAGTTGAGGTACCAGGTTTGGGTTTTACTGTTTTTTTTTTTTTTTTTATGGCTTTTATTATTGCTATGAGCTGCCCAGGGTTGTAGTACAGAAGATAGATGGCTATATAAATCTAATAAACAAACAAGTAAAAGAGTGAGAACACAATGGAAAAGCTGATAAACTGTGATGGAATGGAATTATGAAGGCCAGACTCAGGGAGAAAAACATTTTCTTTCATCGC